ATAAGAGACGCAGGTTCGATCCTTGGGTCAGGAAGATCCCCTGAAGGAGGGCATGGCAACCCACTCCAGAATTCTTGCCTGGAGCATCCCAAGGACAGAGGAGCCTGGTGGGCTACAGTCCGTATAGTTGCAGAGTTGGACATAACTAAAGTGACTTAGCATGCATGCAAAGAGTTGGTGACTGTCCATTTCAGTAGAGGAGGGACATCCATCCTTTCTCTAATAGCTCCATGGGCTTCACGACGTATTATCTAGCAGGCCTTTCCAGAGAATCACAGCATTCACTCTCTCTGGGATGTAATACCCTGAGGAGCACTCTGTTTCTTTTTTTCTTTTCATATAAGGAGATGAATGTCATGGAAGAATAGTTATTTTTGTCAGTTCTTGGCCTCCTCAGTTTGTTTAAGACAAAGAGAATAGGTTCATTCCATTAGTAGTACCTCTGGGGACTGAGTTGTCTAAGTTTCGTTTTTAGGGGAGAATTTAAAGAATCTAGTGCCCCCAACCCCCATTTTTCTAAGCTTTTCTTTTGCAAGAAGAAGCTTTTCTTTTGCTGTCCTTTGCATTCTGCCACTTTTTGAAGCTGGGCCCTAAATTCCTAAGTTAGAAGGCCCCACCTCTGCCCTCATTTGCTCCCGTCATCTTGACAATGTTGGGACACGGTCATGCCTGTGGAACTTGACAAGCTTCAAAGCTCTCAGAGGTTGTGCTTTTCACATGTTTTCCCCTATCAGTCGACCTCAGCCTTTGCTCAGATTCTTTTGACAGGGTGGTAGGGGCTTTGTCTATGTTTGGTCCTTCTCCCCTGGTTAGTTCACTCAGAAGTGGGAGATGCTCTTCAGTTGAGAACAAAGATAACTCCTCCCTTGGAAGCCATTATACACTGTCCTTGCAAATGTCTGTCACTCTCCCCTGGGAACTGCTAATAGAAGAGTTAGAAGGAACCTGATAATGTGACGTTTTCTGTGTCTGGAATGGGAGGAAAGCGACCAGAGGCAGAGCTCATCCTCACAGGTTGCAGTGCACAGACCGTTCTGTGTGGCCCAGACCCCTGTCTGGAAGGAAGGAAGGAAGTCAGGGCCTCCTCAGCTGTGAAGACCCCCTTGGCTAAGGTCCCTCCGCTTCCCATGTGCCTTGACTGAGGGACCTGGGACTGTAAAGGCCAGACCGTCTCAGCCCCACTTGGGATGACTCCGAAGGGCCTTCTAGCTCTTGGACTGTCAGTAAGTCAAGCCTGCCGTGAGGCCTGCACCGCAGTCTGCTTCTCCCTCAGCCCACAGCTGGGTCCTTCCAAGGACAGCTCCTGCGGTACCTCCGACTCCCTAAACTCTGGGGAGCCCAGTCTGTGACAGAGAGTGATGTCACTGATTGGACAGGGGACGGCCCATCGTCGTGAAATTTCGTCTTCTCTGTCGTCATCAGATGCTAGTCTGTCACAACTAACAATTCTACCGACTCTGCTGAGATAACATGGAGATGAAATTGGACTAAGAATAAGCTAATTGTAAGGAAGAAAATCTGTAGTTTTTACTCCATTAACAGTAGTGCCAATGGTATTAAATCACCAGGCATTAAATTTCACTTGCTATTTAATCCTCACAAAAATTCTGTGAAGTGGAAATTATCCTCATTTCATTTTGTGAATAAAGAAATGTGCTTGGAGATGTGAAATAACTTGAAAATATCAGAAGGCCAAAATAATCCTAGAATTCCAGTCTATCTGACTTCAAAACTTAAATTCTCATCCTTACCTGGAATGTCCCTCCATCATCCTCTCTTTCTCCTTTGCTGCCCATCGAAAATACTGATGTTCTCACCTTATAGTTAACTCAAATAATGCCTTCAAAGTGTAAATTTTGAAAACTGCCTAAGAAAGATTTTGCTCTCAAACAAGGCTATATTCTACTATACTCGTGTGAGTTTATTACATAGTTTAGGACAACATCTAATTAAGTCACTAAATGAATCTCTCTGTATAACATGAAGGTCTAATTCAGTTGAATCCTGTAAAATACATTGAACAGACAGGATGAAACTCCTCCAGCCTTTGTTCTGTCTCTGTACCACCACTGTTTCCTAGTACTAACCAGCAAGCTATATATAAGGGTCAAGCAGCGTACTTGTTCTCAGAACTGTTTTATAAACACAGAGCTCAGTTTTTGGACCCCTTCCATCTGGCTCCCTCTTTGTCCCTTCTTTGTTGACTTTCCTTCATTATTTAAGTGCTTGCTTCACCTTTTAATATGCTGTGTATGTTCCTCTCAGCTGTTTTAAATTCTTTCTAGAAAGTCAGTTCCATCTTCTTTATTATTTCACTTCATCTTTTCCCTGGTCTCTTCTCCTGTGATAATGGTACCAGAGTCATAACTTCTTAATCTTCTAGAAACTGTACAGATACCTAAGTCAACATGGTAGAGAAATAATTATGTGCTTTTACTGCACATTTCCTAATATTAAGGAGGCAATGTTACACAGAAGAACAAGTGTAGCACTTCAAATCAAAGATACATATAAGTGATAATCCAATATATAATAAAAATGCCATTTCATTTAAGTGGAAAAGAGTGAGTTATTTAATAATCGATGATGATATAAATAGTTATCCAACAGAAATAAAGTAAAATTGGACTGCTATCTTATGTAGTATATAAAAATTGTCAGATGACTAGAAGACTTAAATATAGAATTTTTTTTTAAATTCCACAAAAAATCTGAGAAGCATGATGTAAACAAGGCTGGAAAAATAGACATACAAAATAAAAAAATTGATATATTATTACATATAAATTTAAAGCTATTTTATAGCTGAAAAACATAAGGTCAGTAACCAATGATAAGCTTAGGAGACTGCTTGCAATGCACAAAATGTGTGGGAGTTATACTCTGCAAAGATCTCTTTAAAACTGGAAGAAAGAGACAACAGCAATAAACTAAAATAAAAGGATTCAAAGAGATCATTCATAGAGGGCAAGTTCAAATAGTCAACAACATATGGAAAGGTCAAATTCACTAACCATTGAGAAGAAGCAAATGAAAGTAATAATAAGGTACATTTTACCCTCAACAGAATGGCAGATGTTTTTAAGTATTATAACACTTATTGCTGGCAAAAATTCTGATAGAAGAGTGAATTGTTTCAGCTTTTGGGGAAATCAATCTGACAGCATCTATTATGTTTCAATATACACAAGCAACTGTTTTGTATATTTATGGGGAAAAAATAGAAAACCTCATATTTAATGAAGAAACATTGAAAGCACTCCCTTTGAAATTAAAAAAGGACAAACAAGGATTTTTTATAATACTTCTCTAGTTGAACATTATAATAGGTCCTAGCCAGAATAGTAAGACAGGTAAAAGAAGAGAAAGTTTTAAGAATTGTTGGAGAAGACTGTCATTATTTGTGGATAAAAAATTGTATGTCTAAAAAATTTGAAAGAATCCTCAGAGAAATTACAAGAATTAGAGTTTAGCAAATTTTCTTGATACAAAATTAATATATACAATCATATTTCTGAACATTAGCTACCAAATAGTTTAAGAATAAATAATTTTTTAAATTGTAATAATGTCAAAGATACTAGATGTTGAGGAAATATCTATCAGAAAATATGCAGCCTATTACGGAGAAAACTAAATTTTTTGAACAAACTTAAAAACTGCGTATGTAGAAGGGCATGCTATTTTCATGGTATATAATACTCATGCCATTTCTTCCCAGTTTACTAGTTGTGGTGTGATCTTAGTCAAAATTCCAACAAATCTTTTTTCATAGAACTTGGCAAGTTGATTCTAAAATTTATATAAAAAGTACAAAAGGCCAAGAATAGTTAAAACCCTCTTGAAGAATAACAAGGTGAGTGGCTAGTTTTTCCAGATGTACAAATTTTTATAAACCTATATTAACCAAGAGAGTATAGATAGGGTAGACACGTTGTTGTTTAGTTGCTCAGTCGTGTTTTTGTGGACTGTAGCCTGCCAGTCTCCTTATCCATGGGATTTCCTAGGCAAGAACACTGGAGTGGGTTGCCATTCCCTTCTCCAGAGGATCTTCCTGACCCAGGGATTGAATTCATGTCTCTTGAATCACTTGCATTGGCAAGCAGATTATCTACCACTGTGCCACAGGGAAAGTTTCAATATGGGCATGTGTGTGCGCACACGCATGCACGCTCATTTGCTGAGTTGTGTCCAACTCTTTGTAATCCCATGGACAGTAGCCTTCCAGGCTCCTCTGTTCATGGGATTTTCCAGGCAAGAATACTGGAATAGGTGTAGAGATAAACAAACAGACTAATGAAATAGAATAGAGTCCAGAAATAGACGCATGCTCTCGAATTCATTATCAAGTTACAATTTCTCTCAAAAGAAGAATTATTACTTGCCCAGAGAGATGTGTCTTTGTTTAAAACTCAAGGGTCCTCCGCTGAAGTTCTCCTAACAGATATTCCAAAGAATCCATACAATGTATTTTCCAGCACTAGCATTTTGAGCACGTTGGATCTTCTGGAAATAAGGCCCAAAGGGGAAACTGCTGCTGCTGCTGCTAAGTCGCTTCAGTCATGTCCGACTCTGTGTGCCCCATAGACGGCAGCCCACCAGGCTCCCCCATCTCTGGGATTCTCCAGGCAAGAACACTGGAGTGGGTTGCCATTTCCTTCTCCAATTCATGAAAGTGAAGAGTGAAAGCGAAGTCGCTCAGTCATGTCCAACTCAGCGACCCCATGGACTGCAGCCTGCCAGGCTCCTCCGTCTGTGGGATTTTCCGGGCAAGAGTACTGGAGTGGGGTGCCATTGCCTTCTCCGAAAGGGGAAACTACGTGGACCGATTCCTTGACAAGGTGGAAAGATTTGTTGTGGGCCCCAATTCAAAGCTAGCAGCTTTTCTAGCCACCCAATAAGTGAGCAGCACAACACATTTGTATCAGCTAGGAATTGTATTAGGGACAATTAGGTGTGTTCCATCATAACAGTTTAACCATATGGGGAGGTTAATTTTGTCAGAGTAAGAAGTATGGAGGTAGACAGCCCAGGGCTGGTGCGGCAACTCCCCAGAAGCGGTAGTGTCTCAGGGTCCTTCTGTCTTTTGGCTCCGCTGTCCTCCACTTGCAATATGCTCCTGCGTACGGCCTCCGGCTCATGGTCACAGGTGGGCTACCATAACTCTGGATAAGAAGAGGGAGGGAAACAGAGGCGGCACATTTCCCGGAAACCTACTAGCCAGTTAGCTGTACTCTCATACTTAGTGACTCTTAGCTACAAGGGAATATGAATATTTTTCAGTGGACACATTGCTACTCAAACAGAATTAGAGTTCCCTCAAAAAAAAAGAAATCCATATTTGTAGAGCATTAGTAATGTATGCCATAGAATCCGAATGTGGTACATGTGACTTCTAAAATTTTAAGAAGGCCTATGCTGGACACAACTGAATGACTCAGTACTTAAAGCCTTAAAGCCTGCCTCTCTTTTTTTTTTTTTTCCTCAATTATTTTTATTAGTTGGAGGCTAATTACTTTACAATATTGTAGTGGTTTTTGCCATACATTGACATGAATCAGCCATGGATTTACATGTGTTCCTCATCCTGAAGCCCCCTCCTGCCTCCCTCCCCATCCCATCCGTCTGAGTCTTCCCAGTGCACCAGCCCCAAGCACTTGTCTCATGCATCCAACTTGGACTGGTGATCTGTTTCACACTTGATAATATACATGTTTTGATGCTGTTCTCTCAGATCATCCCACCCTCACCTTCTCCCATAGAGTCCAAAAGTCTGTTATATACATCTGTGTCTCTTTTTCTGTCTTGCATATAGGGTTATCGTTACCATCTTTCTAAATTCCATATATATGTGTTAGTATACTGTAATGGTCTTTATCTTTCTGGCTTACTTCACTCTGTGTAATGGGCTCCAGTTTCATCCACCTCATTACAACTGATTCAAATGAATTCTTTTTAATGGCTGAGTAATATTCCATTGTGTATATGTACCACAGCTTCCTTATCCATTCATCTGCTGATGGGCATCTAGGTTGCTTCCATGTCCTGGCTATTATAAACAGTGCTGTGATGAATATTGTGGTACACGTGTCTCTTTCAGATCTGGTTTCCTCGGTGTGTATGCCCAGGAGTGGGATTGCTGGGTCATGTGGCAGTTCTATTTCCAGTTTTTAAGGAATCTCCACACTGTTCTCCATAGCGGCTGTACTAGTTTGCATTCCCACCAACAGTGTAAGAGGGTTCCCTTTTCTCCATACCCTCTCCAGCATTTATTGCTTGTAGACTTTTGGATAGCAGTCATTCTGACTGGCGTGTAATGGTACCTCATTGAGGTTTTGATTTGCATTTCTCTGATAATGAGTGATGTTGAGCATCTTTTCATGTGTTTGGTAGCCATCTGTATGTCTTCTTTGGAGAATATGCCTCTCTTTCTTAGTGATAAGAAGCGCAATGGACAGTTGCTTGTCTTCTGTTTTGTAGGAAAATATCCCAGCATTCCCCAGTTCCGCAGTGTGCTCATTCACTCATGCTCGCTCGCTTGCTCTCTCTACCCCCCTCTCCCTGCCCTCCAGCACACCCGCAAACTCATGGAACTTTAACAGGATAACAAGCCCCATAACTCCATGTGATTTAGTCTATCCCCTTGACACACAGAACATACCAAGGCACCTAGGCTACATGTTACTTCCTGTTTCCAAGTTTATCCATATGATGTCATCATTATCATGAGCCAGCTCCACGATCTGTGGGCTGAATCTGATATAAACCCAGAGAACTGGCATAACCCTGAGGCCCCATGGTGAAGCACATTGCTGACGCTGACAAAGGAAAGCAAATCCCTTATGCTGTCCCTGACTACAGGAAGAGAGGGAAGAAGCAAAGGGTACCCAGTGGGGATTTGAGGGGAATCTGAGCAAGCCAGCTTACACTGCAAAGGCTGCCTCAGTTAAAAACTAGTGAGAATGACTGTTCGGGTTTGCATGAAATTATCTTAACTTGGCTTTATTATTTTGCAGGAATACAAAAAAGAATGAAATTTAAAAGTTTGCAAAAAGTTTGATAGTCTCAGTAGACTCCGTGGATAAGGATTTTGATAAACCATGTGTGCTGTTTTGCTCTGGTAGAGGCATGGAAGAACACATTAGTATTCAAGGGTCCATTTCTTCACGATGTAAGGAGATTCTTATGGTTCACAGTTACACACTCCTGCATGCTACTTTTGCATTAGGTAATTGGGTCTTCTCATGAGTTCAGCCCAGCATCCCCTGCATGGCCTACAGGAATCTTCTAAGTCTTCCCCCTGAAATTGTCCTTACTTCCCCAGTCAGTGCTCTGACTTTCACTTAAGAGACTAGCTGAGGGTGTGGCTTTAGTTATCTTTCATGCAGAAAGCTTCAGGATCAAACCATGCGTTTGATATTTGGCTCTCTGCACACTTCAGTAGCTAGTAATAAATTCTTCTGACAAAGCCATGGAAGCCTCTGGTTTTCAACATGTGCTTTGAACTGAGAATTTGGAAATTTGAGCATGTCTTTCTTTTTATTTAACCTGTCAATTATCATTAGAAGGTGCCACCACCTCACCCCATAGTCCCTGAGTTCTCTGTAACTTTCATATTCAGTAGCATGGACTTCTCAGTTCCCTTGAAACTTTGCCTTCAGGGGAAATTCAGTGTAGGCGTACCTAGGTGATGATTTGATTAAACACTTCACTAGATCATGACCAGAATCTTTAAGAATATGAGCTGGATTTCTGTTGCCTTCAATGTCCAAGCCAGATAACACTTCCATATTTCTGCATACATCCCATATCTCTCTGGAACTTTCATAGCTCTTAGTTGCAGAGACTAGAATCCAGCTCCATCTGACTGAAGCAGAAAATTAATTTACTGAATGATAGTGGGTGGCTCACAGAATCTCTAGAAAGGTAAGAGAGTCAGATTTGCAGTGAGGCAGCCAGGAAATGCACTGTTGAGCAGGGACCTGATCACTTGCATGGTCAATAAACTAACTGGGATGTGGGCTCTACCACCCTCTAGCACCACTGCCCAAGGACTTGGTCTTTCCGTCACCTCTGACCCTGAGAGACAATGCAGAGTTTCTTAGGGCTCCCTCAACTTCCTGACTTCATCTCAGAAGTGGATGCTGTGACTCATACTTGATTCTCGCAGGGGAGACTGGGAAAGCAAGTATCTGATGTTTCAATTTCTATAGAGAAAGGTGTGTTCTGTCTTTCACTGACCCAAGATAAGACAATCCAAACATGAGACAGGGTTTCAGATATTGAACAGATGAAAGACTGATGTTCCCGTTACCTTTTAATAAACCAGAAGAAGGAGAAATAGACCTCTTTCCCCCGTCTGTCTCCAGTAGGGAGACAAGGTCACATAGAGCAAGAAGACAAATATGGCTGGAGGTCAAGACAGATGCTGGAGGTCACTGAGACACTTTGATGACGGCCTATTTCCTGGGTCTCATGTTGAATTACAACATTTTGACGTCTCCCTTGTTAGTGTCAACTGCCAAGTCACCCCTTCTCCTCACTTGGGTTAGGATTTGTCCTAACCCAAGAGCTTACTTGGCTGCTTTCAGACCTTTGGGTTCCATCTATTAACTATTAGTGCTTGGTCATCATTTAAAATGATTTTTTTCCAGTAGAAAGAAAGTCCTTGCCTGCTAAGTAAATCTCACCAGAAGGGCAGGTAAATTGGGAAGGCCCCATTCTGGACTTTTCTAGGTGGTCAGATATGGCAGCATATGCCCTCTTATCTGGTCGAGTGGAAGCAACAACAGTGTCCTCAGTCTCATTAAATTTCAGGCCTAACAGCAAATAGCAGTCCAGGCTCCAAACGGGCTGCTTAATCTTGTCAGCGTAGCGGGAGCCTTGGCAACTTTCTTTTTAATCTCAGCACTCTAAAGCTATTTATATACTGGCATAGGAAAACATATTATTTGCAGAAATGCCTCCGGATCCTATGTGATTTATACGGGGACAGAAGATGTTTTCAAAGAACCATATTTCTCTAGTATTTTTTGTGACAAAGACTGTACAGCCATGATCTGCCAGGTTGTGTGGGTGTAAAAACAGCCTCCATTAGCTAATCTTTAGTTCTACTTGGGCTGTTTAAATATCTATTCAAGTTTTCCAGTCTGCCCATATTTAGATTTTGGAATTTAGTCATGATTAATTTGCAAGCTTTAAGAATACAATAGTGTGCCGAGGGGTTCCTTTCTCAATCCTCTCCTTTGGGTTTTACTGGAATCATGCCAGTGTCGGTGCACTTTGGAATGCTTACTTTAGCTAATCTGGAAATATAGCAATTATAGGGATAATAATGCAAGTCTCTTGCTTCTCTTCCACAGGTTTCTGTGTTAGTTCAGGTCCTTCTAGAAGCAGATGCAAAGACAAGATTAGACATGCAAGAAATTTGTCAAGGGAAATGCCAATGAGAGAAAATATAGGTGCGGGGAAGCTGAAGGAGGTGACAGGAGCTGGGGATGATGAGAGGAAAGTAGGAAGAAGGAGCCCGATAGGCAATCTTAGCTAACCCCACAGGTTTAAGAACGTTCCAGCCAGGCTGATGAAACACCTTTGAGCTGAAGTCCCCATCAGAGGCATCCGCCCCACTCCCCTCACCCCCTCTTGCATAAGCAGGCCCTAAACACTCAGTCCGTTGACCAGGAGCCGCCTGCCCGGTGCTGGGAGCTGGGGGTTCCCATGTCACATGCTCCCGGAGGCAGACCTGGGGGGTGCGTCTTCCTAGCTGCGATAGCTCCCGCCCAGTTTTCTTAACAACAGTAAAAGGTGGTAGCTTTTAAATTATTCTTTGTAAAGCTCCAGGGTCCTAAAGTGGGTCATCAGTCTACACAGCGAGGGAGCAGATGTCAGGAACCACTTAAAGCCCCCAGGCCTTCTCCGCCCAGGAGGCTGTTTACTCCTGTATGCATTGACAAGACTTCCTTAGGAGAACAATGACCCCACTGCTTCCCGAGCTGTGTTTGGGCTCAGTCACTCGTCTTGTCCAACTGTTTGCACCCCATGGACTCCGGGAGTAGCCCGCCAGGCTCCTCTGTCCGTGGGATTTTCCGGGCAAGAATACTGGAGAGGGTTACCCTTCCCCACTCCAGGGATCAAACCTGAGTCTCCCGTGTCTCCTGCACGGCAGGCATTCTTTACCACTAGCGCACCTGGAAGCCCGCACTGCTTTCCGTGCTGTAGGCTTAGTTGCTCAGTCGTGACTGACTCTTTGCGACCCCATGGACTGTAGCCCGCCAGGCTTCTCTGTCCACAGAGACTCTTCAGGCGAGAGTACTGGAGTGGGTAGTCTTTCCCGCCTCCAGCGGATCTTCCCAACCCAGGGATCAAACCCAGGTCTCCCGCAGTGCAGGAGGATTCTTTACCATCAGAGCCACCAGGGAATTCTAAATAGTTTCAAAACAGTTCAGGGAATGCTGCTGGTGGGGAGGTTCCCCCTTGAGCCAAACGCTTGATCTGTGGATCATTGAAGGAAAGAAAAAAGATCCTCTCTCTTTAATACGTAATTCCCCAGACCGTGTTTTTCTGCACATTGGACTTTCTGTCTGCTGTTCCTTGTGCCTTTAATACCTTTCTCTCTCTTTTCTACTTAGCAAATCCTTCATCTTTCATGACCCGTATCAATGGCCATCTCCTCTCTGAAGTTTTCCCCGACTTCCTGAGGCAGAGCAAGCACTTCCTACCACTGTGTTCCCATGGTGCTTTGTCTCGGTTACAGTATTTGTTACATTTTATAATAATTTATTTTTATGATTGTGTCCTCCACATGGTAAAATTTTTATATTTTATTCTTTCACTCTTTCACGAAAGATGGAAACATTGGCTTTCTCCATAAATATCCTGGTAAATTCTCTTGTTTAACAACCATGACAAATACCTTTAGCTGCTTAAGAGAAAGCGATCTACCTTCTAAATACTTTTGAATTTCCACTTCTTGTTTTTAAAAGGAATAAAACCCTGACCAAAGCAAAAAACAAAAAACAAAAAAACTTGGCATTATGGACTTCCCTGGTGGTCCAGTGGCTAAAATCCACGCTCCCAGTGCAGGGGGCCTGGGTTCAATCCCTGGTCAGGGAACTAGACACCATGTTCTGCAACAAACATCACATGTGCCACAACTAAGACCTGGTGCAGCCAAATTTAAAAAATGTTTAAAAACTTGGCAACCGAAGGGTGGCTCTAAACAGATCATCAATATTAGATCATTTGTATTACAACTTCATGGAACTATAAAAAGCAAACATGAAAAGAAAAACTTATCTATGATTAATTTATCCACTTATTACACAAATACTTATTGAGAACCTGCTGTGTGCCAGGCAGTGTTGCAGGTACTAGCACAGCTAAAGACTATGATGTAAATAAACAGAGTGAAGTAGTGGGAGTGACTCAGAGGCTACACCAGGTGGGTGATCAGGAGAGGGGCTTCCTCTGATCTGTTAGGACCTAGAGGGACACGGACAACTTCAGGGGGATGACATGCCCTGAGGAGACAACAGCGGGTGCGAAGGGCCCGAGACAGAAACCCGCCAAAGCCAGGGTGATGAGATCGTGGTGAGCCAGGCAATTTGTGATGGGAGAGAAGTGGTCAGAGAGGCCAGCTGGAGGCAGGTAGGCAGGGCCTTGAGGAACCATATATGTATTTTGAATTTTTCCTTATGTGGGAAAGGATGTCACTAGAGGATTGTAAGCAGGCAAACGATATAATCTGATTTATATCTTTAAAAGATCACTATGGATATAGTGTATGAAATGGATTGTAAGAGGTCAGTCTTAGTGGGTCAAGACTAGTGATCAGTCATTGGAGAGGTCGAGAAGAGCTAACAGAGATTTCGACGAGGGAGCGGCCGAGAAAAGCAGGGTTAAAATGTGTGAATGAATGCTGTATATGGACTCGAGCACATGTGTGTGCCCTTGCCTAGACACAGAAATATACACATTGTAATGAAAGCAAGGAAAAAAATTAATTCTGTGACCTCAGACCGCTACAATAACATCCCAGTTATGCTCATTCGGGAAACAATTAATTGTGGCTTGTAAACCCACTTCTACCCCTGCCCTTTGCTTTCCCTTCCCTAGTTTACAGGAAGTGATTAAATTAAACAGAGACAGTGGGAATTTCTGGAAGGGCCTGGAAGGACACAGCTCATAGAAACAGCAAGTCTGCTCTGTAAGGCTGCTTTTCTTCTTTATTGTCAAGTCTGCATCCACAAATTAGAGGGGATATATAGTCGTGTCTCCTGAGCAAACGCACTCATTAGAATGTTCTGACTGAATTAATGAGGAGGTGGGGGGGTTGAGTGTTTAATTAGTTGACCATCTGTTCTGCTAAGCCATCTCTTACCTTGACGGCGCCCAGGTTCTTAAGCGAGCTCCCTCTCTCCAGCGTAGACCTCCCACATCCTTTCACCACTGTGCTGCCGGAGCGCGGGGGCTGACAGATGACCCTAACTGTGCCTCGCCTGCTAGAAGACCGCCAGGAGCGCTCCACCAGCTGAAGATGGGGTCAGCTCTCACGCAGGCAAGCCCCTCTGCGTCTCTTGCACCTTAGCTCAGGCCCCTGCCGTTTGCTTGACCAAAACTGAGGGGAGGAGACCTGCTCTTCCCACCTTGTGCCTTTGCTCCCGCTGTCCCCTTGGTCTGTGCGACACGCCTCTCCTTACACGGGAATCCGTGGAGCCTGAGCACAGGCCTCACCCTCAGCAAAGCCTCCCGGCACAATCTGTCCTTGTTGCCTTTTGTGCCCTTAACGGTCCTTAATGGTCCAAGGAACCGTGTAAGGGAGAGAGCTGCCTAAATTATCATGGGGAGTCCACAAGGTCAAAACTACTTTTTTTTTTCATAATAATACTGGAATGTTAATTGCCTTTTTCACCATGTTGATATTGGTGACAAAAGCAACAGTAAGTAAAACCCCTGGTATCTTAACATAAAGCAGCGACGCCAAGTTACACTGGGCATCGTTGTAATTCTCCATCTTCGCCACCACACGCTGCCAACAACATAGTAAGTGCACTTACTGTCCTTGACAAGGCAGTAAAATACACTGATTTTATTCAATCTCAGCCATTGCGTACACAGCTTTTTAATATTCTACATGATGAAATGAGAAGTACAACTAAAACACTTCAGCTGGAGATCAGCTTACAAGGGTTGTCACAAGAAAAAGCACCTTTGTTTGAGTTGCAAGCTGAGCTAGCCAGTTTTTTAGTTTAGGTTTTTTTTTTTTTTCATAGAACACCACTTTTATTTGAAAGAATGACTGACAGACTAGGATTATCAGACTCGGTTATCTGACATATTTTCTAATGTCTAACAAGGGAGCCTGTTACTTCAGGGAAAACAACTGCAAGTGCTTGTTGCCAGTGATAAAATTCATGCTTTCCAGCAAAATTTTGAAGTTTTGGAAAGCACGTATCTGCCAGTGATAAGAGCTGACAGCTTCCTGGTACTTACAGACTTTTCTGGCGAAATTGGTGGAATTATTAAAGAATTATGTTTTATGAATATATTGTATTAAAAAAATGTGCTAGCATTTGGAAGATCTGCATGACCAAGTGAACCAATATTTTTCAAATGACCAGTGCAAGATGTTTACAAAGTCATGTGTGGGTGAAATCTATTCACAGTTCAAGATAACCAATGCATTTTAATATAACAAAGTAAGAATGTCTTTTGCCATCACCCAAATGGATCTGTAGAATAAATGCAATATCAGTCAAAATCCCACTAGGCTTTATTTTTGTAAAGTTTGACTAACTCTAAAATTTACATGGAAATGCAAGGCAACTATAGTAGCCAAAGGAATTAAAAAAAGAAAAAAGTGAAGAACTTTCTACTTGATTTCAAGACTTATAATTAAGCTATAGTAATCAAGATAGTGTGGTATAAAGAGAGACAAAAGATCAGTGGAACAGAACAGAAGCTCTAGGAATAATTCTACACATCTGCAGCCAAAATATTTTTTAACAAAGATTCCAAGGTAATGTAGTGGGAGTAAAGATAATCTTTTCAGCAAATGATTTTGGAACAATTGGATAATCATTAAAAAAAAAAAGAACCTCAATCTTTATCTCATAATGTATACAAAAATTAACTCAAACTTAATTTGAACACATATCCTTGTCTTAAATGTAAGAATCAACATTACAAAACTTCTAAAGGAATACATAGAAGAATTTAACAACTCTGAGCTTGGCAAAGATTTTTTAAATAAAATATAGAAAAAGCACAAACTGTTAAAGTCAATAATCCAAAGTTAAAGTTTTTGCTTTTCAAAATGCCATGAAAATGAAAGAGCAAACCATAGATTGGAGGGAAACATCTGCAAAACATATTTGAAAAGACTGATATCTAGAATTTATAAATATATAAATAGATCTTACAGCAATAAGAAGACAAGTTACCTAATAAAAAATTGACAAACAGTTTGTACAGACATTACTGAAAAAGATCTATGAAAGACAAATAATAAATGAAAAGGTGCTCAACATAATCGTTATGGAAATGAAAATTGAAATCACAATGCTATCATTGTACATCCAGTAGAATGACTAAAGTTAAAAAGACTGCCAGTACCAAATATTAGAGGATATATAAAACATTGAAACTTTGTAAATTGCTAATGGGAATGGTAAATGGTATAGCCATTGTGGAAAACAGTTTGACAATTTTATAAAAAGCTGTACATATACTGTATGAACCAGGCATCTTAATCCTAGGTAAATTCACTAGAGAAATGAAAATATATGTTCACACAAAGAATTGAACAATAAGATTCATAGCAGAGTTATTTATAATAGCCAAAACCTTGGAGGGGAAGAAATAAATGTCCCTCAGCAGGGGAAAGGATAAATGATTTGTGTCATTTTCAAACAATGGAATATTACATAGCAATGAAAAGGAACAAATGACTGATACATACTAAAGCATGGATACATTTCAACATAATTATGCTGAGTGAAAGAAGCTAGACAAAAAAGACTATGTACTTTCTAGTCCAACTTAGATACAAATCTGTGCTGTCAAATGTCATAGCCACTAACCATATATATCTGCTGAGCACTTGAAGTATTACTAATTAAAACTGAGAGGCTCTCTATATATGAAATACATACCAGATTTTGAAGACTTCACATGAAAAAAAATATGAAGTATCTGTCTTAGTCTGTTTGTGCTACTGTAACAAAAATACAATAGCCTAGGTGACTTATAAACAGCAGGAACTTATTTCTCACAGTTCTGGAGACTGGGAAGTCCAGGATGAAGGTGCCGGCAGGTTCAATGTCTGGTAAAGGCCTGCTTCCTGCTTTATAGATAGCCATCTCCTTCCTGTGTCCTCACATGGTGAAAAGGACAATGAGCTCTCTGGGGTCTCTTTTAAAGGGCCTTAATCCTGTTCATGAGGGCTCCACTCTCATGACGTAAGACCTCCCAAAGGTGCCACCTTCAGATACCATCACACTGGGGATTATGTTTCACCGTATGAGTTTTGGAAGGAACACAAACACTCAGTCTTTGACAAGATCTCAGTAATTTTATGTTGATTACATGACAAGATGGTAATATTTTGATATACTATGTTTGAAATATGCTACTAGAAAATATTCAATTGTATATGTGGCTCGCATTTTTCTGTTCGGTTTTTATTCATGAAGTTGTTTCCAACTCTTTGAGACCCCATGAACTATAGCTTGTCAGGCTGCTCTGTCCATGGGATTTTCCAGGCAAGAATACTTGAGTAAGTTGCCATTCCCTTCTCCAGGAGATCTTCCTGACCCAGGGATTGATCCCTGTCTCCTTCATTGCAGGCGGATTCTATGAATCTGGGCGCATCCACCTGGGGATGCTAGTGGTAGAGTCCCCTTGCCAATACAGGAGACACAAGAGACGTGGGTTTGATCCCTGGGTTGGGAAGATCTCCTGAAGAAGGAAATGGCAACCTACTCAGTATTTCTTGCCTGGAACATTCTAAGGAGAGAGGAGCCTGGTGGGCTACAGTTCACGGGGTCACAAAGAATCAGACATGACTGAGCACATACAGCAAGTTTTTAAAAATCAGTTAGAAAGCAGATTAAATATGTATATTTCTAAATTCGTTTTTATGTAGCCCAATCAGCTGAGCATTAGGAAAAGTCTCTGAGCTAGAAACGAAGAAGTAATTTTTTTATCTGCAGGAAGTAATCAGCAACCAGCCTTGTGTGTTTCATGAGGATAACATTGACGCCACTCTTCCTATTTTAAAAAGTTGTATATCCTTAGGATCCAGAAAGAAGACAGAAATCACACCAGTTATTTTAACAGAGAAAATGCAATGGAAAGAATTATTAGCCAGATACTGGAGAACCAAAAAGAGGAGTCAGGTATCATGGTGATGGTATCCACAGGGTGCAGCTCCTAACCCTGGTACTGACTGAGGAGTTAAAGAAAAAGGTCAGAATGATTTAAACTCAGAAGGTTGCAGAGTGGGTCCCTCAGACTAGAATTCATACCCTGGAAGGAAGAGTAGCTATTGAGATAACACAAAACTTTGGGAGAGGGTCCACAGGGAGCTGTGACCCAGACCCGTGAGGCAAGGAGGGGGATTCCCTGTTGACGGAGGTCATGTCTTTAAAAGCACATGATAAGGCTGGTTCTCCAAGGTTTAGAAAACCAGTAAACTAGAATCATCTGCAATCTTCTGCAATTCCAGAAGCCGCAATTGAGGCTTCTGGAAGGAGCTTCTGCTGCAGGGGTGAAGCAGTGTTGCTACGGTGACCCTGACAGAAGCGGGAACCAAACAGAAGGGGAACGTCTCCTCTTCCTCCCCAGCCTCGTCCTCTCCCTCCATTGTCCACTGGCAGAGTCGAAAGGAGCCAGTCCGTCAAGGACAAAGCGGTTTGTAGATCACAGCGTCACAGAGCAGAAACAGGCTACTAGATTTAGAGAGTAAACTGGTGGTGCCCAGAGGAGTGGAGGTGGGCGTGGGAGGTTGGGCGAAAGAGCTAGAGGGGATTAAGAGATGCAAACTCCCAGTTATAAAATAGATAAGCCGTATATTACATGGGATATAACATACAGCATAAGGAATATAGTCAATAATACTACAATGATTCTGTATAGTGACAGATTGCTACCGGACTTGTCATGGTGAGCATTTTATAATGTATTCAATTGTGGGGTCACTGTCATACTTTGTTGTACATGTGAAACTAATACAGTAGTATACATCAACTACACTTCAATAAAAGAATGGAAGCGTGGGTTTAAAGCTAAGACACTAGCTTAATAACACAATAGTAGCTCCAGTATTCTTGCCTGGAGAATCCCAGGGACAGAGGAGCCTGGTGGGCTGACATATTAGGGTCACATAGAGTGGGACACGACTGACGAGACTTAGCAGCAGCAGCAATTAAATTCTGTTTTTCTCAAAATAGTTCCTACTCGAGTGGAATTCATAAATATACATATATATGAGATATAG